CAAAAGAAGCTGTGCCTAATTTATAAATTAGACTTTGTCATAGGTACGTATGTATAGAAAAAAACATTGTGTATGTTTGTTACTGTCTGGTTTCAGGCATCCACTGGGGGGTCTTAGGATGTATCCCTGTGGATGACCTGAACTACTGTATTAGGAACTCACCTGTTGTTTACCGCATACAACGTTGGGGAAAAGTGGGTTCATGAGGTTATTGCTGTTGGTTACTTTGCAGGTGAAGACAGGTTCTGAAGGCGACTGGCAAACTCACTCAYTCATCCTCTAAATTCAGGAGTGGGGCAGTTGAATGGCATTGGTGATGCCAGAGAGATTTCTAGAACTCTCTCTGATCCATTGCCTTTTTCTTGCCCTTGCAACACTGTCTGTCCCTCATCCCCCAGTCCTCAGGGACTTTTTACTTCTTTGTCTGCCCAGAATCTTTTCTCTTAAAAAGTGAATGACTGTCAGTGCTCATTGGTTATACTATTTTCAGGGGTGTTTGTGTTTGAATCAAATATGAAGAAACTTCATCAAAAGGAATTGATTTCTAGCTTTAGACTCTTAGGCATGGGCAAAACAGAGAAGGTGTGTAATACGGGAAGAACCATATTGATGGTGGGGGTAGGAGGGTGGGGGGAATGATTTGGGGTGATGCTACCTCATGTTCCTGAAATTTTCTAGCCAAAAGATTGGCCTTGTGAGCCAGCTGATGAAAGAGGGAGCCCAACTGTTTGCAGGTCATGAGACATGTGGATAGAATATTCATGGAAAGGCCCTGGTGAGTTTGCAAACACTGGTCAGCCAGCAAGCTTCTGACTGATTCACCTTTTCAATCTGCATGCCTCRGGCTAGTTCCATGCTCTCTCTGCAGCATAAGGCCTCCCTCTAGCTCTGTCCCTCAGAACCCTTTCTCATCACTTTCTCTTTCACCTTCCTCCTCTTATACCACACTGCAGTGCATGTCTGGTACCCTCCATATATAAAGGATAACTGAAGGAAAGGAAAGAAGGCATGCTCAGAGCTGGGTTGTCAAATCCTAGTCACTCCAGACGTCAGTAGAAATCATCCTGTTCTGAGTGGCCTTACACTGGAAGCAATGGAGACATTCTAGGAGAGGGTGCTACTGGCATTTAATGAGTAGAAGCCAGGACTGCTGCTCAGCGTTCTGCAATGCCCCCACAGCAGAGCAGAACCCAGCCCAGGATGTCAATAGTGTAGGGTGGAGGAGCTGGTCTAAATGAAGATTGGAAGAGAGACCCCTGCTTAGATTTAAATGATTGCTAGCACCTGAGCAGTGTCTGGGGGCGGGAGTCATCCCTTATTCTCAGATCCACTAACTCCAGGGAGTCCCAGAAATATTTCTAATTGTCTCTCTTCTCCAGCCCTTCAGAGGTAGATTCAGGTCTACGCTTACATGTGACTGGATATTTTTCAGCATTTAGTGAATAATTCAGCACCAACTATGCTCTAAAAAGTAACAATTACAATGCAACAACTAAAATATTAGTGTTTATTGAAACTTGGCAGATATTGTGCTTAGCATTTTATGTGAATTCTATCTCTTAACATTGCAAAGTTATTAGCATAATCCCAACCTACAGGTGCAGAAATTGAGGTTTAGGAAGGACCTTTGGTTTAGGTAGGACCCTTGGTTTACCGCAGATCACCTAGCTAGTAAGTAAATGGYGGAAATGTATTGCAAACCCAGGCATGTGGATTCTGGGTCCCAAATTCCTAGCCAACTAAACTTCCCAGGGAAAAGAAGAACTTTATTCCTGAAATAAACTAAGGGGTCTAAATGTAGATATGGTACTTAACAGGAAATTTCATCCTCATAACCCAGTTTGATTCTAATGTCACAATTTACCTTGCAGGCTCCAAACTCCAGCTCAGAACAATGTGGCTTAAAGGCTGAGTTTTTTCACCCCAAATGAGGAGCTCCAGTTGACAAGTATCTCCAGTCTGCAGTCGCGCCCTACACTGGCCCCAACCCAGGCATCGAGCCTTTTGGCTTTGGCCAGTACCGAGGCCTTCTGGACTGATTCCCCCACGAAACCCGTATTATTTGTGCGTTCAGGTCACAAGCATCTGTGTGAGGAATGTTTGAGTGGAATCATGTAGCCGCTGCCCTCCAGGAGGCTACGAGATGCCAAGAACCTGCTGCACACTTAAAAGCTCTGCTCTCCCAACAGGGCTTGCGAACAACTGGCGCTCGCGAACCACAAGGAGGCTACGTTTTTCTCCCGTTGCTCGCTAGGGCAGTGCACTGGAAATTGCAGAGCCTGTGTTCCAGGAGCAAGCCGGGAAAATGAAGCTCCAGGTGAAGGAAGCCAAGAGGAAGAAATTTACGCTTCCTGGGAAAAGTGAACCCGTGCGGAACTGGCGCGCCGCTGTCCATCTTTAGCTTCTGCGAGAAGCTGGAAACAGAAGAGACGCCTTTGCAGGGGGACAAACGGAAGGATGCGGGTTGTAGGTGGCAATTAGGTGTGTGTGTAGGGGTGAGGRCGGTGTTCAGTCTCTTTACATCCCTCCTAGCTGGGTTTCCAACCTTTCCTTCCCAACTCGGTTTCCTAGCAGGTCTGATACTGCAAATCTGGTGGAGCGCGGTTGAGAGCTGTACTAGGTGCAGAAAACCACTCCCTTCAGTGACCACCAGACCTATCTGACTATAAGGAAGACTTTTGGAGCAATCATGAATGAATATATTTCCTTATAGATCATGCTGCCGTCAGCCCCCAAATCTCAGTAGACTAGTGGGTTTCACTAGAATTGAAGGACGAATAACTACACACACCGAAACTTAGGGCAGCGCGCCAGCAGCGCACAGCTCAGAAAGCATCAGAATCATATCGTAACAAATCATAGGATTCTAATCACAATATACCGTAAAGTATTTAGTCTTCGTTTGCATTGGCATATTGTCCTCTCCTGGGAGGGTGGAAAACTAGCCTGGGGCGAGAATGAGGTTCAGTCTGCTGGAGGTGGGAGAGGGCAGAGAAGCAGGCAGGCGGTTCTCTTTGGTCTGGGGATCTGGGGCATAACCCAGGAAACTTTCTCCAGAAATAACCAAAAATGGGTTCACAAACGCACCCACTTTCTATGGGAACTAGAGAGACTTTGCAGTCATCTTGATTTGAAGGGAAAAGCAAAAGGWTTCAGAAGTGAGTCCCACAAATGTTGAGCCATCTCAACTGGGGCGTCTTCCCAGCAGAAAGACGCGTTTGTTTGCTTTGTCTAGATATAAGGAGTCCGGAGCTCCTCAGCGTCTGGTAAGAAAGAGGAGGATTTCTGCCGGGGGTGGGGTGTGGGGAGAAGACCCAGGTCGCAGAACAGTCTTCAGAAAGTGAGAACCTGGATCCGCTGTTTGATTCTCTAAGCTGCAGAAATACCTGCCCTTCCGTGGTTATGCGCTCTGGGGCTTAGTCCTTGTACCTCCTTCTCCACGTCCATTCTAGCGCGCAAAAAGCCCCGCATATGTCCCGAAGGAGGATGGGGCGTGGATTCCCAGTCGTCGGGGGCTGTGGGAGACGGGGTGAGAACAAGAGGTCCCAGAGACACAAGGCTCTGTCTCTGCATAGTCCCTCGAGGGTCCTCCCCAGGGTCAGAGTTCTCGGAATTCTCGCCCTCCATGGTCCGGAACAGGGACCCAGCTAACAGAATTTGCCTCAAAACAAAGCAAGGGGGCCTTTCTGAGAGGGAGCGGCACCATACTGAAGACTAGGAATTTGTCTTTTATACTTATCAATCCGCGAGAGCAGCAAAGAACAAATTTCTCGCGCTCGCGGGAGGGGGAAAGGATAGGGCTGGAGATGTGGCTGGATCCCGGACCAGAGGCACTGCAGGGGTCGGGATCCCAAGGTGCAGCCTAAGGAGAGTTCCCTCCTCTGATTCCAGCTCTGTTCTGTGCGCCCGGGCGCGTGCGGGCAGGCCATAAGGGGACACTCGAAAGCTCACCGGCTGGAACGAAAGGCAGGCTCTCTGAGGGGCTGTGGGTGGTGGCGCAGTTGGAAAGTAAGAAGCCGGGCTCAGAACACCCTCCCACACACGCCACCGCAACCCCCGCAGGGAGGCCCAGACCACATCAGCGTCTGTCTAGTCCAGAGCAGGGGTCTTGAGGCTCACAGGCGCCGGCATTTCTAAGAAAAAAAAAGTTTATTTAAAATTTTGTACATAAATAAATAAATAAATATCTTCTGGTATTACAGAAACCGTACAATTACACAGCTAGGCCAGGGCGGGGCCGAGACCTGGGTGGAGGGGAAGGGAGGGGTCACCCGAGGCCGAGAGCCGGGGTCTAGGGTTTGGGGGAATGCAGTGCACGTCGGAAACAAAGTGAATCGTTTTCCTCCATAGGTACCACAGGAGATAACTCTCCGTGGAGAGGAGTTTCGGGGACTCCGTACCTCAAGGCCTGATCAAGGGACAAATGAACTCACTGTTGGAGAAGGCTCCCTGATGAGGGAAAGGGAAAGGGCAAAGAAAACAAAAGTTCATAAATTGTGTGTGTGTGTGTGTGTGTGTGTGTGTGTGTGTGTGTGTTGTGGAGGGGCATGGATAACAACTGCAGGAAAGAATTGGGAGAGAGAGATTTTTTAAACGGGAAGCAAAAGGGCATCCGAGGAATGAAAGGCTGAACTTGACAGAGGGTGGAGAAGAGTAGAGGAAGCGAGGAAGCCTGAGCCAGCCCATAGGGCAGGCGAGGAGGCGCCTACCACCAGCAAGGCGCTGGACAGGGCGGTATGGCGCGGGGGCCGTGGTGCTGCACTGCTGACGCTGTAGGATCAGTCTGGAGTTCGCTTTGGACGCCCTTGGGGACCGGGATACCATCCTCGAGTCTCTGCTAAGTTCTCAGCTCTGCCCAGAGCTGGGGGTCTTGGCAAAGCCATGCCAAATCCGTGAGAGACAGTCGATTGGCAGCGGGTTCCTGGGAACCAGCGTTGCGTCCCAAGACTAGTCTTTCAGGCGCCGGGAGGTCTTGGGGTGGGCGGCCTAGAGGGACAAAGGCCTACGGAGTGACCGTAAGATCCCGGTCGTCCTTCCCGGAGGAGGACGGAGACATGGGCAATTCGTCGTCATCCTCTGAGCACTTGGCTGAGGAGAGCGACGCGCACTTGCAGCCTTGCGGTGCGCCCCCGCCGGCACCCGCAGCCGCACCGCCCGCGCTGCCGCGGTGGTTGCTGCCCTTGCCCTCCTTCTTGTGCTTCACCCGGCGGTTCTGAAACCAGATCTTCACCTGCTTCTCGGACAGATTCAGGTAGGTTGCGATCTCGATGCGGCGAAGGCGGGACAGGTACATATTGGAGGCGAATTCGCGCTCCAGCTCCAGCAGCTGCGTACTGGTGAACGCGGTCCGCATCCTCTTGCTGCTGGGCAGCTGGTTCGAGCTGCTGTCTAGAAGGGGTGGCGATGCAGAGAGGGAAGTGGTCAGACCCCTGCATTGTGTGCCCAACTCCATGCTGGGTGATGGCTAGACTCCCGACCTTGGACTTTCACACACCCCTTCTCCCCAACTGTATCCGCAGCAGTGTGACCGAACCTCCTTGCCAACCTGCAAGATCCTGATTCTCCAGGAGTCACTTGGCCCTGGTAGCCCTTTATGGAGCACCCTGGACCTCAGTCCTCACATACCCCTTGACGTCTCCTCCAGGACCAGGATCTTTCACCTCCGGCCCCGGTCTTCCCATCAGCCCACCACCCTGAGCGCCCCCCTCAGGTCCCTGACAGGACACTCACCACCCCAGGATGCCCAGGGTCCCTCTTTCCCATCCCTAGCTCTCCAGCCTGCCTTGGATAACTCCTGCTCTGTCCCTCTGACCAGCGGCCCCTCTTACCCACGGAGATGCAGTGGAACTGCCGGGGATCCGGCAGCGGGTAGGAAGTCTGGTAGAGCGCGGCCGCTGCTGCAGCGGCGGCCGGACTGTGAGCGACCCCGGGCGACACGGCCGAGTGCTGGCGGCCAAGGGGCGCGTGGCAGTACTGAGAGCCGAAGGGCGGGAAGGATGCTTTGAGCAGCGGCAGCGCGGGCGGCCCGGGGGGCCCGTGCAGCTGTGAGGCGGTGACGCAGAGCGGGCATACGCACAGAAGCCCGGCCTTGCGCGCGTGGCAAGCGCCAGGAGAGAGACCGTGCAGCGCGTGCGGCGGGGGAACCGCGTAGGGAAAGAGCGGCGGCGGACTGCCCTCGGGCGCCTTCTTCTCGCCTGCTTCGCGCAGCACCAGAGAGTCCACCAGGAAGGAGCGCGGCATGGCCTCGGCGCGCGTCCGCCCAGCCACCAGCCCTCCCCTTGCGCTCGCCGGACCTCCGGGCTCTCCACGAGCTTCCTCCGGCCGCGGCCGCTTGCAGCTGCCTCCTCTGGGGAGGCTGAAGGCGCAGCCCAGGCCCAGGCTGAAACCGCCTCCTCCGCTGCCGCGGGCGCCGCCCAAAGCGCGCGGGGTGCTGGCCAGCGCTAGTGGTGCTGAAAGGCGCCGGCGGCGCCGCTTAAATAGGACTATTGCCATGTGATGGGCTACGCCAGGAGCGGCCGGGGCCTCTCAATAGGGTTTTTGTGCCTTTTCTCTTGGCATTCACTCTGCACGCTTCCTCATTATTTCACTTGTTAACTAAATGAACTGCATAATGTACTCTATTCTTGTCAACCCCACCCACGCCGTAACAGGCGCCCTCGCCCCCTCCTCTTCCTTTTGCGGGTTTATTTTCTCATTCTCCCGCGATTTAATATTCTTTTCTTTCTCTTTATTCCTTACTCCCCTTTGGCTCTGCATTGGCGATTGGTCCATTTGTCTTACTGATTTTGCACCCCCGCTGCCTCGCTTCCCCAGATCCCCATGGGTGCACACCCGCAGGTCCTCGGCCCCCTCGATCCTAGTCCCCTTCTTTCTGTTATCTCTTCCTGCCCCAGCTCCCGCCAGCGTGATGCTTCCACTCAGTTCTCCTAGCTCAACTCTGCATCCTGCGAGCGTCCTTGCAGCTGCCTTCCGATTTCCACCTGTGGAATCCCCTCTTTTCTCCCTGTGTCGGAAGCAGGAGGACAGGGTTCCTGCGTGGGGGAAGCACTTATAGGGAGGGAGGGGAACGGCTCGCAATTYCTCATCCAGGGCTAGCTCCATCACTGTCCCTCTGTTTCCTCTGAGTTTCTCAAATGGTCCTAACTTTGGTGCTGCCTACAACGCCCAGTCTTTGTTCCGTAGATCCTGGCCAACCAGCCCTTTCTTTCAAGCAACAGGGCTATGGATGTAAACTAAAATAAAATAGGAGAAAGAAAGGGGGGGGCACTCGCTGAGAGTCACGGACTGAGATGGGAAGTGGAAGCCTAGGTCGCKCACAGCGCGATCCCACACCCCCATCAAATGTGACAAGTATAGGCAGTCTCTGCCCGAGCGGATCTGGTGGACGCCCTCTCCATTCTCTCACACTTCAGTAGACCCCCTTGTGCCCTCGAAAACCATTGCCTTCCCACAATTCGGAGCGGAGCTTGGACTGCCTTCGCGCACTCTGAGCTCCCCACTCCCGAGTCCCGGCTCCTTCCTCCTGCCGTCGCTCTCTTCTTTCTGGTCACACAATGGTTAAACAACTTCAAAGCCCGGCGGTGTGTACACAGCTTCAGCTTTTAAAATCGTCCTCCGGCTCAAAGCTGTTTCTTTCAGGAGCTTTTATCATACAATGGGAAATTAGCATACCTATTTCGAATTTACTTCCTTTGGGCCTTTTCACCAGAAACGTTTACTTTCGATTTTATTAGAACCAAATCGCTGCAGTCACCTGCTCTGAACCTTGAATGGCATTGTGAGAAGCTTTCTGGAGGGGGTAAGATCAATGCACGGGACTAAGACTGCCCAGACCCAAAGCGCCTGCGTGGGTTTTTTACATCRTCGATGCCATCTTTACTATCACAACAGCAACAAATTATAACTGATTAAAAAAGCAAACTGAATTTGTTATGGAAGGAGCAGGGGAAAAACCCACCTGCTTCAATAAAGGGAGAGGGGCAATGGTAAAAACAACCTGCATGAAGGGCATGATCTATCAGGAGTAGGGAGGGGTTCAATGTTTCCTTGCTTGCTTGGCATGGGTGCCCCCCTCCCCATGCCATGGTCTCGGTCCCAAGGTTCCTGCAAACCAGCCGGAACGCATCAATGCAGACTAATTCCCGTTCTAATTGCTCTCTGGGAAATTTGGGCCGAGCTGCGCCTCTGAGAGCGAGGCAAGAGCCGGGACCAGGCTCAGAGCCGGGCTCCCCGCTGGGTTGAGGCGGCTTTGAGAGGAGCGGGCGGCAGACCCGGCCTGGGAGTAAATGGGGCAGTCGCTGAGCTCCAGAGCTGGGAGCCCGCGAGGGGACAGTGCGGAGCTCTCCTGGGAGTCACCCCGTGCTCCCGGGGATGAAGGGGTTAAGAGCCCCTGAATACGAGCAAGGCCAAAGCTACTGGGAAAGAATATGGGGGGGGGGGAATAACCAGTTTTCCCCCCTCTCCCTCCAGCCTCTGGACCTTATTGAATGTCATTGAAGAAAGTTTTGAATGCCAGATAAAGAGAGGCGAATTAAAGTGTGTGACAGCGGAGGATAAGCAAACACAAAGAGAACTCTGTCACACTTTGGGGCAAAATCCGTGGGCTTTTTACCAAGTCTCTTCGCTATGATTGAATTAAGTAATAGGAAAACATTTTCTTTCAGTTTAGAGCCATTAGACAAAAACTTCAAAGCGAATAACACTTTTTAATGTGCTGCCCCACAATAGATCGGGTTTTGTGCTGAAATGTTTAAATGGTTTGTTGTGCAACTCGGCGCGGGAGAGAACCRGGCCCAAGCAAAATAGCATCCTTGAGAGTGTTTTCGGCGCCTTGGAACCAAGGCGCACTTAATCCGCCACCTGTAAACCCGGTGGGCTACAGCCGGAAAGGGGGCTCCTGGTTCACCGCCCGGGACAGCCGACCGCGCCCAGGAATGTGCCTGTTTCAGGGAAGTTCTGCACTTGTCCAGGACTGAAGTCCATCTCCGGCTGCAGGCCCAGAGCCCGGGCAGGTGCTGAGATGCAACGGCGGCAGGGAGCTGGGAGCCGTCCTGCGCCCCAACCCTATGGCCTCTGCCCGCCGCCTGGTTTCCGGGGGTCACCGCCTGCGTTCTCTCCCGCAGACGCGCGGCTTTTCTGTTGAAAGCGCCTCCCAGGGCTCCCTTTAGCCGGGGTTGAACTTTACTCACCMGAGCAAACGCCCCCTAGGGCGGGGCGGGGTGGGAGGAGGCGGCGGGATTAGCCTGACAGCCCCAGAGAGGGGCCCCGGGAGCCTTAGGGCTCGGCCGCCAAAGCTGGTTTTCAAGTGTCCATCAGGGACAGTTCAACATGGAATAATTTCTGTTGTCCCGGGCTTTTCTTCTGCTACACTGTGTCCTTCCTTTTCCTGCTGGTAGAGCGAATACACCACTTTCCTACTGCCATTGTGGATCTAAGAGATTTGAAACACTGTACAAATGGCACGGTGATGATGCTGTCTGTTTCCTTTACATCTCTCTTCAAATGCCATTTTCCTCCTCAGGGAGGCCAACGACCTTATTAAAAATATCATCCTTCTTTCTCCATATTCTGCCTGGTTCCTTGTTTTGTAAGCACCTTCAATGTTTATGTCTTTGGTTTGTTTTTTTCTCCACCCGTGAAATACATACTCTGTGAGAGCCAGGTGTGTGTGTGTGTGTGTGTGTGTGTGTGTGTGTGCGTGCGTGCGTGCGTGTGTGTGTTGTGCATTGCCATATCTCAGAAAAATTCCTGGCACATAGTAGGTGCTCAGTATATGTTGACTGAATGAATAAGTAAGTGAGAGAGACCTAACTCAGGAGGTGGAATAGCCAGGAGGACTTCATGGTGTGCCTTCTTAATGAACCAAGGCACTTAGGAGCTGACATGGGGTAACTGATGGAGTGAGACTCTGGAGGTCAAGGGCTGTCTTAATCTCTCCCAGTTCCTCTACACCCCCAGGGCCTGGAACATCACAGGAGTTCAATGTGATGGCAGGCAGTAAGCCAGTCTGTGGGTCCCCAGCCCTCCAAAGGTAGGTTCTCATAGAGACAAGATGGTCCTACTTACTGAAGGCAGTTTCAGTATCCTGCTCTGCAGAAGTTGGATGAATCCACTGGTAGCTCAAGGTTAGGGGTTGTCATTAAGGTCTTTTGTGGTGTATAAGGGATTGATTGGAAAAAAAGAAGAGATTGGCTATATGCCCTGAAATTATCAGTAACCATTTCTACTTGTTCTGGCTGAAGGCAATGGAGTAGGAATTCTTGATGTCAAGAAAGTAACTGCTCCCCCGACCGCCAGGGATTCAGATAACTTTCCCAGGAGAGAGAAAGCAAGCTGTTTAAATAAGCACAGGAACAGAATGTCTGGTGTGCCAGGGAATGCTGAATGGATCTGGGAGCCAAAAGTGGAAGGTGTCCAAGGAAGGGGCAGAGGAGTAGCGGCTACACAAGTGTGCACAGGAGGTGGCAGTTAAGTCATGAAGGACCATGCAAACAGGTTTGGGTTAGAGCCAACATTTGTAAGCAAGAGGGATTATGGAGTCATATCTGAATTTGAGAAGTATCACTGGAGGTCCTATTGGAGTGAGAGGCCAGAGCACAATCCCACAGAGTTGGCCTGTGGATTAATATTTATTAAATTATTAAATGAACAAAGATAAGGGAAGAAGCAAGGAGAAGATTATATAAGTTCAAGTGAATGGATGATGGCCACCTGAACTGGAATGGGGACAGCAGGACCAAAAAAACTAAATATTGAGAGAGTTCAAAGGGGCCAACTGGGGATATGTATGCCATGTGTGCACATGCACATGCATGTATTTAGGTGTGCATGCCTTAGAGGGCAAAGGCATGAAAGAGAAACTTAATATATCCGGTAGCTTGTTGGCAGAGATAGGTAAGTGGTGACATTAAAGGCAGAGACAAGGAACTTAAGGGTAGGACCTACTTTTGTTTTGGGGGATGTGCAACATTGTCTGATTCAAATGTGTTGCATTTTAATCTTTAACCTCAGACAAAATGTGTCTAGAGTTGAATAGAGAGATTAGAGATAGAGATTTATAACTTATGTATACAAAAATGATAGCTTTAGACTTAGGATGGATGAGGTAGGAAGGGACTATAGAGAAAACACAGGATTGTAGATGCAACCCTGGGTAACACCCACATTTAAGGAAGCAAGTGGAGGGAGGATTCCYTGCAAAATAGATAAATAAGACAATGATAGGTAAAAGGAGAAGTGAATGACAGGAGAAAATGGAAAAAGGAAGAGTTCTACAGAG